TTGCATATTTACAAAACCCTGTCATCTCAGCCCAAAAATTCCTTAAGCTGATAAACAACTTCAGGAGTCTCAGGATACAAAATCAATGTGCCAAAATCAAACGCATTCCTATACACCAATAATAGACAAGCAGAGAGACAGATCATGAGTGAACTCCCATTCACAATTGCTACAAAGAGAATTAATTTTTTTTTAAATAACCCTCCCTTTTGTACTTCCATTGGAAGATATACATTCTGGCCCCAGTGATGTTGGCCTGGAAATGTGACTGGCATTGCAGCCAAACCAATGTGCTGCTCAGCTCTTCTTCAAAGGGACCAGATGATAGGGGTGTAGTTGGACTGAGAGCCCTGACTGGTATCCCTTTGATTCATCACCATGTCCATTGAGAGACTATGTTTCTACTGTGCTGTTACTAGCCAGTGACTAAGCATTACATGGGCACTACTGCTTGCACATTTTTATGAAATGTAAGTTCCCTCTCATGAGGCTCAAGGATTTGGGATTGTTGCGACCAAAATTTGCAACTCCATTGCAATCTGCGATTCATCCTACCCATTTCTTCTTCCTTTTTCCTTGTCAGCTTGCACTGTAACTGCATTAAAAGTTTTTCCTGCCTATTTGGCTTCCCCCTGTTGTCTTTCATTGACCTTTTCCCTTTGAATCTTTTGGATGTCTAATCCTTTTATAGCATCTGTTTTTGTGATCTAAAATGGCAGGCTTGACTTGGTATCATATTGTTGTATTCTGCTTCCTGCACCTTGCCTTTGATTTGTCATGCAGCATTCATTGGCAATGATAACGAGTGCAAGAAACAGAATTGGACCCAATCTACAACTTGAACCAAGTGCAAATTGAACTTACATGGTCACCATTGAAGCTGTGAGTATAAATAACGTACTGTAGTTTTAAGTTATTGAGATTCTGCGTAGTTTGTTACACAACATGATTATGACAGTAGGTAATGATTACAAATAGTAAAAAATCTGTTGATTTTCTAAATTAGATGAAAAGTTATTGGGGAGTTTGAAGCACAAGATGCTATGATCTGAGTGATACTATTTTAATAGAGTCGCTTGTTAATATGTTGATAATAAATGGAAAGATTTTATATCTATTTTAGAGCAAAAAAGAGAAGTCCACTATTTGGCTTCTTAAATAATCCAGTCAAGAGAAAATGGTACTTTTAGCTAAGATGAAGAAAAGTGGTAGAAATCTATCTTTTTCAAAGAGAGAAAAGACAGGATTTATTGATAAGCTGATGTTTAGTGTGTCATAAAGAGGAGAAAATGATAACACCAAGAGTTTTGACCTGAACAATGGGAATGATTGAATAATCTTTTTATTTATTTATTTATTGTACTTTAGGTTCTGGCATATATGTGCAGGTCATGCAGGATTATTGCATGGCTACATACATAACAATGTGGTCTGCTGTCTCCATCCCCCTGTCACCTATATCTGGCATTTCTCCCCATGGTATATCTCCCCAACCTCCCCACCCCCCACTGTTCCTCCCCTAGCACCCCCAGCAGACCCCAGTGTGTGATGCTCCCCTCCCTGTGTCCACATGTTCTCATTTTTCAACACCCACTTATGAGTGAGAACATGGAGTGTTTGACTTTTTGCTCTTGTGTCAGTTTGCTGAATGGCTTCCAGATTCATCCATGTCCCTACAAAGGACACAAATTCATTGTTTTTTATGGCTGCATAGTATTCCATAGTGTACATGTGCCACATTTCCTTGTCCAGTCTATCATCGATGGGCATTTGGGTTGGTTCCAGGTCTTTGCTATTGTAAATAGTGCCGCTATGAATATACGTGTGCAAGTTTCTTTATAATAGAATGATTTATAATCCCTTGGGTATATACCCAGTAATGGAATTGCTAGGTCAAATGGAATTTCTATTTCTGGGTCCTTCAGGAAGCGCCACACTGCCTTCCTCAATGGTTGAACTAGTTTACACTCCCACCAACAGTGTAAAAGTGTTCCTATGTCTCTACATTCTCTCTAGCATCTGTTGTCCCCAGATTTTGTAATGATCGCCATTCTAACTGCCATGAGATGATATTCTCAATGTGGTTTTAATTTGCATTTCTCTAATGATCAGTGAGGATGAGCATTTTTTACATGTTTGTTGGCCTCATATATGTCTTCTTTTGAAAAATGTCTGTTCATATCCTTTGCCCACTTTTTGATGGGGTCATTTGTTTGTTTCTTGTAAATCTGTTTTAGTTCTTTGTAGATTCTGGATATTAGCCCTTTGTCAGATGGGTAGATTGAAAAAATTTTTTCCAACTCTGTTGGTTGCTGGTTCACTCTAATAATTGTTTCTTTTGCTGTCTGAAGCTCTGGAGTTTAATTAGGTCCCATTTGTCTATTTTGGCTTTTGTTGCCAATGCTTTTGGTGTTTTAGTCATGAAGTCCTTACCTATGCCTATGTCCTAAATGGCTTTGCCTGGGTTTTCTTCTAGGGTTTTTATGATGCTAGGTCTTATGCTTAAGTCTTTAATCCATCTGGAGTTAATTTTAGTGTAAGGTGTCAGGAAGGGGTCCAGTTTCTGCTTTCTGCACATGGCTAGCCAGTTTTCCTAACCCCATTTTTTAAACAGGGAATCCTTTCCCCTTTGCTTGTTTTTGTCAGGTTTGTCAAAGATCAGATAGTTGTAGATGTGTGGCATTGCTTCTGAGGCCTCTGTTCTGTTCCATTGGTCTATATCTCTGTTTTGGTACTAGTACCATCCTCTTTTAATTTATAGTATATTTTGTATATACTGTACATATGCAATCGTCCTCTTTTGTAGTATATTTTGAAATCAGGTAGCGTGATGCCTCTGGCTTTGTTCTTTTCACTTAGAATTGTCTTCACTGTGTGGGCTCTCTTCTGGGTCCATATGAAGGTAAAGGTGGTTTTTTCCAGTTCTGTGAAGAAGGTCATTGGTAGCTTGATGGGGATAGTATTGAGTCTATAAATTACTTTGGGCAGTATGGCCATTTTCACAATATTGATTCTTCCTAACCATGAACATGGAATGTTTCTCCATCTGTTTGTGTCCTCTCTTATTTTGTTGAGCAGTGGTTTGTAGTTCTCCTTGAAGAGGTCCTTTATATTCTTTATTGGTTGTATTCCTAGGTATTTTACTCTCTTTGTAACAATTGTGAATGGGAATTTGCTCATGATTTGGCTCTCTGTTAGTCTGTTATTGGTGTATTGAAATGCTTGTGATTTCTGCATATCGATTTTGTATCCTGAGACTTTGCTGAAGTTGCTTATCAGTTTCAGGAGATTTTGGGCTGACATGATAAGATCTTCTAAATATACAATCATGTCATCTACAAATAGAGACAATTTGACTTCCTCCTTTCCTAATTGAATACATTTTATTTATGTTTTCTTGCCTAATTGCTCTGACTGGAACTTCCAATGCTATGTTGAATAGCAGTGTTGACAGAGGGCATCCTTGTTTAGTGCCAGATTTCAAGGGGAATGCTTTCAGTTTTTGCCCATTCAGTATGATATTGGCTGTGGGTTTGTCATAAATAGCTTTTATTATTTTGAGAAACGTTCTGTTGATACCTAGTTTATTGAGAGTTTTTAGCATAAAGACTGTTGAATTTTGTCAAAGGCCTTCTGTGAATCTATTGAGATAATCATGTGGTTTTTGTCTTTGGTTCTGTTTATGTGGTGAATCATGTTTATAGACTTGTGTATGTTGAACCAGCCTTGCATCCCCAGGATGAAGCCTACGTGATCATGATGGATAAGCTTTTTGATGTGCTGTTGTAATTGGTTTTTCAGTATTTTATTGAAGATTTTTGCATCCATGTTCATCATAGATATTGGCTTGAAGTTTTCTTTTTTTGTTGAGTCTCTGCTGGGTTTTGGTATCAGGATGATGCTGGTCTCATAAAATGATTTGGGAAGGATTCCCTCTTTTTGTATTGTTTGAAATAGTTCCAGAAGGAATGGTACCAGCTCCTCTTTGTACATCTGGGAGAATTCAGCTGTGAGCCCATCTGGACCTGGGCTTTTTAGTTGGTAGGTTATTAATTGCTGCTTCAACTTCAGCCCTTGTTATTGTTCTGTTCAAAGTTTCGACTTCTTCCTGGTTTAGACTTGGGAGGGTGCAAGTGTCCAGGAATTTAACCATTTCTTCCAGATCTACTGATTTAGGTTCATAGAATTGTTTGTAGTAATCTCTGATGTTAGTTTGTATTTCTGTGGCGTCAGTGGTGATATCCCCTTTATCATTTTTTATTGCATCTATTTGATTCTTTTCCCTTTTCTTTTTTATTAATCTGGCAAGTGGTCTGTATATTTTGTTGATCATTTAAAAAAACCAGCTCCTGGATGTATTGATTTTTTGAAGGATTTTTTGTGTCTATAGACAGACACCCTATTGTGAAGATTGAAAGAGATAGAGGAGCAAGATCAAAAAATCGCAAGATCAAAAATGACTCAAAAGCTAGAGGAAAACAATAGATAACTAAGATCAGAGCAGAACACATTTTTTGAAGGAGATTTTGTGTCTTGAGGGCGGCTGTGGGGTCTCAAGGGAGAGGCGGCCCGCCCATGCTGACAGTGTCCCAGGGACTCCACGCTTGTGCTGCCAGCTGGCCTCGCTGCCCTGTGCCTGTCATCGGGCCAGATTGGGCTGGCCCCGCCAACCCACCTCTACCAACAGCTGGATGATGGGTGTTGCACCCTGCAGACGGTGAACACTGAGCTGACTGCTGACGTGGTGGAGTGGTGCCCTCTGTAAGGCCACAGACACCTGCTGGCATGTGGGAACTGCCAGCTGCAGCCTGAGGACAAGCCCGCCGGCCCCCAGAAAAGGGTGGAATGTAAGTTGAGGAGCCTCACTCAGATTCTTTTAGGTCATCTCTTCCTGTATGGTTTTAATGAGAACCACTCTATTCACCCTCTGGTCAAGATCCAAAGAAAAGATACTTCTGAAATCCTGGACATGAAATGGTTCCACAACCTGGTAGCTGGACATGCCCTCTTGAGCTTGGCCCCTGTGAATGGATCCAAACAGCTGCTCCGCCTGGTGGAATCTGAGAAGAGTGGCCACATGCTGGAACTGTTGTCCAGCCTTGCCCCGGAGCAGCAGTGTATGGCTTTGTTCCTAGTTTAGGTCCACTGGGAAAACTGGAAGGGCGAGGGAGCAGCCCTTGAAGATCATCAGCTGTGACTCCCCTGGGCAGCTGCACCTGCTGATAGTGAATGAGATGGGGCCCAGACTGCAGAAAGTGGCCTCATGGCAGGCACATCAATTCAAGGCCTGGATGCCTTCAATTGCTGGCATACAGAAATTATATATTCAGGGGGTGATGACTACTGGCCTACTGAGGGGCTGAGACAACAGGGAACCTGGCAGATTTCTCTTCACCATCAAGAGATACTCCATGGGTGTGTGCAGTATCCAGAGAAGCCCCCATCGAGAGCATGTCCTGGCCACAGGAAGCTATGATGAGCACATCCTACTGTGGGATATATGAAACATGAAGCAATCATTGGCAGACACACCTGTGCAGGGTGGGGTATGGAGAATCAAGTGGCACCCTTTCCACCACCACCTGCTTCTGGTCGCCTGTATGCACAGTGGCTGTAAGATCCTCAACTGCCCAAAGGCAATGGAGGAGAAGCAGGAGGCGACGGTCCTGGCATATCACACATTGCCTAACTTGCTGGTGTACGGAGCCGACTGGTCATAGCTGCTCTTTCATTCTCTGCAACTGGCCCTCTCGCGGCCCTGTCCTAGCAACCTGGGAACCAAGACAGCAGACCTGAAGGGTACAAGCAAGTTGTCAGCACCCTGTCGTGAATGCATGGAGGATAATGATGGAGAGGGCTGGGGAGTGAAGCCACTCACAGAGGACATGAGGAGGAATGGCACCTGGCTGTGGGCTACAGCAGCTGCCAAGCGTGACTGTGGCCTGAGCCCAGAAGAAGCAGACTCAGCCTTCAGCCTCCTAGCCACCTGCTCTTTCTATCAGCATGCGCCCCACCTCTGGGAGTGGGAGGGGAGCTGAGCTTGAGCTCATGAAGCCACTTCTCACAGAAGGGTGGGAATCCAGGAAGGAGACTGAGTGAATGGCCAGGACCACCTCATTGGAGATGCTTACTGCAGCCCTGCAGGTGACTGCACTGGTGGAATTGACACTGTAGTCAGAAAAGCTGTTGGCTTCTCTTAAATAAACCTCTCTGCTGGGCCCCTGAAAAATTCATTAATTAATTAATTCTAAAAAAGATTTTTTTCCCCATCTTTCCTTTCGATCCTTGCGCACAGGGGAGCAAGGTCTTGAAAAAAGGGTCTTGGTGAGGTGCCGTCATTTTTTCTGTCCTTGGTCTCTATGCCTTTCGCAGAGCTTCCAGCAGCGCTATGTTGGGCCAGAGCATCCGGAGGTTCACAACCTCTGCGGTCCATAGGAGCCACTATGAGGAGGGTCCTGGGAAGAATTTGCCATTTTCAGTGGAAAACAAGTGGTGGATACTAGCCATGATGTGTTTGTACTTTGGATCTGCATTTGCTGCACCCTTCTTTATAGAGAGACACCAACTGTTTAAAAAATAAGGATATTTCAGCTCATCCATATAACAGATATGAAGAGCATTTTAAGAGGTGCAGTCTTGGGGCCGGGCACGGTGGCTCAAGCCTGTAATCCCAGCACTTTGGGAGGCCGAGGCGGGTGGATCACAAGGTCAAGAGATCGAGACCATCCTGGTCAACATGGTGAAACCCCATCTCTACTAAAAATACAAAAAATTAGCTGGGCATGGTGGCGCATGCCTGTAATCCCGGCTACTCGGGAGGCTGAGGCAGGAGAATTGCCTGAACCCAGGAGGCGGAGGTTGCAGTGAGCTGAGATCGCGCCATTGCACTCCAGCCTGGGTAACAAGAGCGAAACTGTCTCAAAAAAAAAATAAAAATAAAATAAAATTAAAAAAAAGAGGTGCAGGCTCTGGAAAACGGATCGAACTCACATGGCATACTAGATACGTGTGTAAATAAACTTAAGACACGAAAAAAATCTTTCAATTTTAGATCTTTCCTCACTTCTCATGTGGGCATTTATTGCTGTAAATTTCTCTCTACACACTGCTTTAAATGTGTCCCAGAGATTCTGGTACATTGTGTCTTTGTTCTTGTTGGTTTCAAAGAACATCTTTAATTCTGCCTTCGTTTTATCGTTTATCCAGTCAGCATTCAGGAGCCAGTTGTTTGGTTTCCGTGAAGCTGTGCGGTTCTGAGTTAGTTTTTTAATTCTGAGTTCTAATTTGATGCACTGTGGTCTGAGAGACTGTTTGTTATGATTTCCATTCTTTTGCATTTGTTGAGGAGTGATTTACTTCCAAATATGTGGTCAATTTTAGAGTAGGTGCCATGCGGTGCTGAGAAGAATGTATATTCTGTGGATTTGGGGTGAAGATTTCTATAGATGTCTATTAGGTCTGCTTGGTCCAGATCTGAGTTCAAGTCCTGGATATGCTTGTTAATTTTCTATCTCGTTGATTTGTCTAATATTGACAGTGGAGTGTTAAAGTCTCCCACTATTATTGTGTGGGAGTCTAAGTCTAAGTCCCTTGTAGGTCATTAAGAACTTGCTTTATTGTATCTGGGTGCTCCTGTATTGGGTGCATATATATTTAGGATAGTTAGTTCTTCTTGATGCATCTATCCTTTTACCATTATGTAATGCCCTTCTTCGTCTCTTTTGATCTTTGTTGGTTTAAAGTCTATTTTATCAGAGACTAGGATTGCAACTCCTGCTTTTTTTTGCTCTCCATTTGCTTGATAAATCTTCCTCCATCGCTTTATTTTGAACCTATGTGTGTCCTTGCATGTAAGATGGGTTTCCTGAATACAGCACACTAATGAGTTTTGACTTTTTATCCAATTTGCCAGTCTGTGTCTTTTGATTGGGGCATTTAGTCCATTTAGATTTAAGGTTAATATTGTTATGTGTGAATTTGATCCTGATATTTTGATGCTAGCTGGCTGTTTTGCCCATTAGTTGACACATTTTCTTCATTGTGTCAATGATCTTTACTATTTGGTACATTTCTGGAGTGGCTGGTACTGGTTGTTCCTTTCTATGTGTAGTGCTTCTTTCAGGAGCTCTTGTAAGGCAGGCCTGGTGGTGACGAAATCTCTCAGCAATTGCTAGTGCATTAAGAATTTTATTTCTCCTTCACTTATGATGCTTAGTTTGGCTGGATAAGAAATTCTAGGTTGAAAGTTATTTTCTTTAAGGATCTTGAATATTAGCTCCCACTCTATTCTGGCCTGTAGGGTTCTGTGGAGAGATCTGCTGTGAGCCTGATGGGCTTCGCTTTGTGGGTAACCTGACATTTTTCTCTTTCTGCCCTTAGCATTTTTTCCTTCATTTCAACCCTGGTGAATCTGAAGATTATGTGCCTTGGGATTGCTCTTTATGAGGAATATCTTTGTGCTGTTCTCTGTATTTTCTGGACTTGAATATTGACTTTCCTTGCTAGGTTGGGGAAGTTCTCCTGGATAATATCCTGAAAAGTGTTTTCCAGCTTGGATTCATCACACTTATCAAATGTAGATTAGGTCTTTTCACATAATACTGTATTTCTTGGAGGCTTTGTTCATTTCTTTTCACTCTTTTTTCTCTAATCTTGCCTTCTCATTTTATTTCATTGAGTTGATCTTCAGTCTCTGATATATTTTCTTCTGCTTGGTTGATTTGGCTATTGAAACTTGTGTATGCTTCACAAAGTTCTTCTGCTATGTTTTTCAGCTCCATCAAGTTATTTATATTCTTCTCTAGACTGCTTATTCTAGGTAGTATCTCATCTAACCTTTTTTTTAGGTTCTTAGTTTCTTTGCATTGCGTTAGCATATGTTCTTTTGGCTCTGAGAAGTTTGTTATTACTCACCTTCTGAAGCCTGTTTCTGTCTATTCATCAGATTCATTCTCCATCCATCTTTGATCCCTAGCTGGTGAGGAGTTGTGATCCCTTGGAGGAGGAGAGGTGTTCTGGTTTTTGGTGTTTTCTTTTGTGTGTGTGTGTGTGTGTGTGTGCTGGTTTCTTCCCATCCTGTGGTCTTTGTAGTTGATAACTTTCAGATAGGGTCTCTGAGTGGATGTCCTTTTTGTTGATATTGAATCTATTTCTTTCTCCTTTTTAGTTTTCCTTCTACAGTCAGGCCCCTCTACTGCAGGACTGATGGATGTCTACTCCAGACCTTGGCTCACTTGGGGATCACCCACAGGGGCTGCAGAACAGCAGGGGTTGCCACTAATTTCTTCCTCTGCTATCCTCGTCCCAGAAGGGTACCTGCCAGATGTCGGCCTGAGCTCTCCTTTATGAGGTGTCTCTTTGGGTATACGGGAGTTGTTTGAGGAGACAGTCTGTCCCTTATATGAGCTCAAGTGCTGTGCTGGGAGCTCTGTTGTTCTGTGCAGAGCTACTGGGCAGGTACCTTTAAGTCTGCTGCAGCTGAACTCATAACTGCCTCTTTTCCTGGGTGCTCTGTCCTAGGAAGGTTGGCTTTATTTATAAGTTCCTGTCATGCTGCTGCCTTTTTTCATAGATGCCCTGCCCCACACGGAGTCTAGTCACAGTTTGCCAGCAGAGGCATTGCTGACCTGCTGCAGGCTATGCCCAGATGCTGTGTGAACTGCCTCAGTAGTGGGGGATGCCCTTCCCCCACTGAGCTGGAACATCCTGGGTCCAGCTGTGCTTGCTGTGAAATTCAATCCAGAGCATTTCAGATTGCTTGTTTTGTAAGGGTAGTACCTGTAAGGGTTACTGTCTTGTGAGGTTTATTGCTTAATTTAAAATGAGGAAACTTAGGCCTGCATGAGAACAATTAGACACCAATTTATTTGGCTCCCAGGTGAGGTTCTGTGGTCCCGGGGAAAGAGGCCTGAGAAGTCATGCCTGACTTCTCTCAGGTGTGGGGTTTTATAGGGAGTGAAGGCATTTGTCTGTGGAGAAACAGGACTTGGACAGGGCAAGCTGCTATTGGTAGGTAGGCAGGATTTCCAGTGACCAGGCTAGTTGCCAAGTGCAGAGCTTAGTGTTGAGTGCAGAGGGGATTTCCAAGGTGGGCTATGTGCCAGGTGCAGAGCTTAGTGCTGAGTACAGAGGGGATTTCCAAGTCAGAGCTAGATGATGGGCGTATTCTGGTGATATAATTTTCAGGCGGGGAGAGGGATGGGCATGTCTGAGCTCCCAGTGAGGCAACCAGCCTTACAGTACCCACCAAGCCAGATGGCCTGGCTCCTGCCTTTCAGTTGAATGGGTGGCTCTGTCTCCCAGGCATTGCAGGCGCCGGTCAAAACAGTCGCCTAGACTTGTATGAGTTTCTGACCTGGTACTGGCTGAAACCACTGCACTCAAAACTCATGGCACTTTTTGGCCTGGGAATCTCCTGGTCTGTGGGCAGTGATAACTTGTTTGGAAATGTGGTGAGGACTCACCCTCTGCGCTGTTTTTGTTGGGAACTGCACTCCAGAGCTGTTCCTATTTGGCCATCTTAGATCCTCTCCATATTGAAGAGTCTTAACTGAGAGAAGAAACTATTTAAAACCAGGCTTTAAGGATCCTTGTACTTTTCAGTTGCAAAAATCTGTATCTCCATCACACTTTAAACATTGTTTCCCATAGTTATTTTTCTGGGTCTTGTTATCACCAATAAATGCATTACTTTAGCCTTTAGATTTTGGTAGGTCATATTCTAGTAACCGTCTCTTAGTTTTCAAATTTACCAAATCTTGTATGCTTCTTCAAAAATGTTTTAATGTCATCAAAGACTACAAAACCATCTGCTGCCAATATCATAACGATTTTCCCTCTTATAACAAGATTTCATGCTCTTTTACTAAAAAGACCCTCTTATGTTTAAATCTTTAATCCATCTGGAGTTAATTTTAGTGTAAGGTGTAAGGAATTGGTCCAGTTTCTGCTTTCTGCACATGGCTATCCAGTTTTTCCAACACCATTTTTTAAGCAGAGAATCCTTTCCCCATTGCTTGTTTTTGTCAGGTTTGTCAAAGATCAGATGGTTGTAGATGTGTGGCATTGCTTCTGAGGTCTCTGTTCTGTTCCGTTGGTTTATAGCTCTGTTTTGGTACCAGTACCATGCTGTTTTAATTACTATAGCCTTGTAGTATAATTTGAAGTCAGGCAGCTTGATGCCTCCAGCTTTTTTCCTTTTACTTAGGATTGTCTTGGCTATGTGGGCTCTCTTTTGGTTCCATATGAAGTTTAAAGTGGTCTTTTCCAGTTCTGTGAAGAAGGCAATTGGTAGCTTGATGGGGGTAGTGTTGAATCCATAAATTTCTTTGGGCAGTATGGCCATTTCCATGACATTTATTCTTCCTAACCATGAGCATGGAATGTTTTTTCATCTATTTGTATCCTCTCTTATTTCCTTGAGCAGTGGTTTGTAGTTCTCTTGAAGAGGCCCTTTACATCCTTTGTTAGTCGTATTCTTAGGTACTTTATTCTCTTGTAGCAATTGTGAATAGGAGTTCTCTCTTGATTTGGCTCTCTGTTTGTCTCTTATTAATGTATAGGAATGCTTGTGATTTCTGC